GAAACTTAACATGTTGGAGTGTGTATGAACGTATTGGAGTGTGTATGAACGTAGCTGCCGAAAACTGGAGTTCATTAGAGATCAAATTTTAAAGAACATAGACATACAAAAAATAGGTGATCACTTGTCTTATTTGGTTCGTCACAAAAGCGAAACCTAAATCATTTTCCAGTTACAAATTATACCTCATGTCGATAATATCTTTGATTGGTACCCAAGTGATGAAGAATAGTGTGGGATGGCTCGAGAGAACACTTTGCTGCAGGGAACTATAGTGGTTGTTTATTTCAAATATGTTCCCAAATTTTTTGTTTTTTGCTAAAAATACATCTTTGTAATCGTTCGAACAGAAGAAATAAGTCACTCGCCACCACAGACAGTGATAAGCGTAGCTTGGTTTGCGTCGCCAACAACCCAACATTACGTTCTCCCACAACAAACAAATTCAACCGTCTATTGAATCTCAAAAACCGGTCTTGAATAGTTACATATTTATTTTTATACCACTTTTTTTTTTTTTTTGAGAGGCTTTCTTATTTTTTTATACCACATTTAACATAACAAATTACATACACTATTTGAAAGAATGATACATCAAAACTTGGTAATTCTTTCTTGCTTCCACAAGGCTCATTTATAGGGAAACATTATTACGCATTCTACTCAAAAGATATTTAAAGTAAATAAGCCCATGATTGCTTCCACACAATTTTTAGTTTATAATAGACATAAATACAAAGGTGTTATTCGTAAACACACATGTGCTTACAAGTAAAGTCCAAAACTCCTTGAACCTATATTTCACAAATTCTTTAACGCTACTATCTCTCTCCTATTTTTTCACCAAGAACACAAAAAAATCTGCATAATAATCATAAATCAAATTTGTTTGTCATGTAAAATCAGTAGCTTTGACTTCGTGTTATACTTTTGTCATTTAAATTGTACAAAACTGAAAACTATTTATTGATCAGTTTGTCCAGATTCTAACAGTATTCCCCACAATGCCAAACCCCACCATGCATGTCCGATATCTTTCTTCCTTCTCAGTATTCCTTTTCTTCCTCCTCCTCGCTTTAACCATTCCAGTTTCTCCGGCGAAACACACAACCTCTCAGCCTCCGCCACCGCGACGGCTTCACCGCAGAGAGCTCTCCGGCGATTACTACTCCAAGACATGTCCTCAGCTCGAAACTTTCGTCGCTTCCGTCACTTCTCAGCGGTTTAAAGAAGCACCCATCTCTGCTCCGGCCACCATTCGCCTCTTCTTCCACGACTGCTTCGTTGAGGTCAAATCTTTTTTATGCCAAATCTGAATATATTCTTGCATTCTCTTTCACGTTACCACAAAAGCTCAGATTGTGCCGCGCGTGTTTTAGCAAATGGCATCAAGATTCGGCGCATTTTAGCCAATAATAAAAAAAAAAAGTCAATAGTATTGCTTACACTATTTTGGTTTGCTTTTGTTGTGTTTGTGGACAAGGGTGATTATTGATCAACGTAAGTTAATAAAAATTTGGGATTTTTTGAAGGGTTGTGATGGATCCATATTG